TTCTGCTCTCCCTAGAGAAGGGGCTGTCTGTGTGAAGAAGAGCCTCTGCAACTGCGAGTCCAGGGCTGTTGCTGACAAGCCATGCAGACTCCTTTTCTCCCTCTGGGAAATGGGATGATAATGAGCCAGCGGCACACACCTTAGAGGATTAAGGAGACTCAAGGTGAGTGTGTGGGTGGGGTGTCCCTGAACCTATCTCTTTTCTCTGGGCTGAGATAGCAGGGAACAGGTCTCTGTCCAAGCCAGACCAGGAGACACGGTAAACTGCAGGGGAGTCTGTGACTCCCAGAAGGCAGCTGGGGTGTTGGTGCATCAACTTGGACAGTCTGGGGGTCGCGGTGGCTGTGCTGTGCTGCGGTGCACAGAGCTCTGTGCTTTTAAGCTCAGCAGGAACCCCAACACTCTTCCCGGACTACCCCATTATCTAGCCTGGGCACACCCGCCAACTCCATCATCTTAACCACTTCATGGTGACCCGTCTTGAAGCTGTCTTCTAAATCTGTCCCACCTGCTCCAACGTCTCCTGGGATTCCTTGCTATACCTGGAAAAAGAGTAAACGCTTTAGCCCTCGCCCACACGTCTCTTCCTCCCTGCTTCTTTCACATTCGCTTTCTCCCCCCCCCCCTGCCTCCCGTCTTTCATCAGTTATTAAAAACTATGGACTGTGGCCAGGGAGATGTCCTGCAGTTAAGGTGCTCTTCCAGACAACTTGGGTTCAATTCCTGACGCCCAAGTGTCAGCTCGCCATAGACTCTCACGCTAGTTCCATGGGCTCTGGCGCCCTCTTCTGACCGCTTCAGGCACTGGCGGTCAGATATGCCGGCAAAGCACCGTACATAAACCTGAGACAGAACAAGAAGGGCTGGAGAAGTACCTCAGAGGTGGAGAGTGTGCACTGCTCTTGCTGAGGACCATAATTTGTTTCCCAACAACCGCACAGGACAGCTTCAGGGGTCTGACACCTCATGTGTACATAGTCACACACAAGCACACAACACATAATTTAAAATAATAAATAATAAATCAAAAAACAAAAAAGAAAGAAAACTTTAAAAATAACCTCGTTGGATATGGTAGCACATACCTGCAATCCCAGCACTTGGGAGCCCGAGGCAGGAGCATTGCCATATGTTTAAGGCCAGCCTGGGCTACATGACAACAGTCTGTCACAAACAGATAAAACCAAAACAAAAACAAAAACAACAAGAACAAAAATACGAAATAACCCTACTGTGTGCAGGCACTGGTCTAGGCATGGAAATCAACTGTGCCTGTCAGACTGGGTCCCTGTCCTGTAGGAGCCCACAGATGGAACGTTCCAGACGGGCACATCAACACTCGTACCCTGTGAAAGCAGAGTTTGGATGGGGGCCCCTGGCAGACATGTGAACCTGCAGGCTGAAAGTAGCCCACAGCCTGGGTGTCGGGGAACTTGAAGGAAGCAGAGATAGTTCTGAAATCACGGCAGTCCTGAAGCTGAGCGCTCACCGTGGCTTGTCCTCCACAGTTCATGTGGGAATTTCGTTCCCAGTGTAAGAATTCTGAGAGGTGTGGGGTCTGTGTGGGTGATGAGGTTGTGGGGGCCTGCTCCATGCTTGGATCAGCACAGCTTTCTCAGATGAGGTTAGCTCTTGCAAGAGTAGACTATTGTGAGGCATGACCTGCCTCAGGCCTTTCTGCTTTCCACCAAATGATGATAACATGAGGCCCTCGCAGGTATAAACATATGGGCATGTAAATTTCCCAACCCCAGTGCCATAGCAACAGAAAACAGCCTAAAGCAGTCTGCAGAGGGAAGAGGAAACATGTTCATTGCCACAGGAGCTGTGCTGACTTCTCCCCAGGCATGGTCTTGAGCTGTATGTGGATGTGGCCGGGGGAGGAAGAGAAGGGGGTGTGGGTCTCACACAGGTGGTGCTGGCCCATGGAGAGAGAGAGCCTTCCTGTTCTGGATGTCACAAGCCCTGGATGATGGAAGTCTGAATCAGGTTGTGAGCTGTGTTCCTTCTGAGACTCTGGGCAGAACTTTCCTTGCCTCTTTCTACCCGCTGCCACTTCCCCTTGCTCCTCCAGGTCCCTGTCATTCAGCATCTCTCTGACCCCTGCCTGTAGTCCCATGGCATTTCCTCTTCTCCAGTTTTCTGTTTTCGAGAGAGTCTCATATGGCCTGCACTGGCCTCAGACTCCCAGCCCTCCCTCTTCCACAGTCCACTCGCTAGGATGACGGGAGTGCACACACCACCATGGACGGTTCATGTGGTACCAGCAATAGAGCCCAGGGGTTCCTGCATGCCAGGTGGGCACTGTGAAAACTAAGCTACATTCCTTCCGGGCTATTTATTTATATCTTAGTATTTTAAAGATTTATTTATTTTAATTTATGTGTATGAGTATTTTGCCTGCATGTATGTATGCCAGGTGCACATGGAGTCCAGAAGAGGGTGTTGGATCCCCTAGAGTTGGAGTTAGTGGTGGTTATGAGCCACGATGCATGTTCTGGAAACTAAATCTGGGTCCCCTGGAAGAGCAGTAAGTGCTCTTAACCAGTGAGCCATCTCTCCAGTCCTATACTTAAAAAAAAGGTTTTTTTAGGGTCTTGCTATGTAGCCTAGGCTTGACCCCACGCCTCAGTCTCCAAAGTTCTGGGATGATATTTGTGCATCACTATGCCCAACCTGTTTGCTTATTTATGACAGCTCAGGTTGGCCTGGAGTCTGTGATCCTCCTGCCTCAGATACTTTTTTTTAAAGATTTATTTACTTATGTATTTTATGTATTTGGGTGTTTTGTATGCATATATATCTGCACACCAAAGAGGGTCTCAGAACCCATGAGACTACAGATAATAGATTGTTGTGAGTCGCTATGTGAGTGCTGGGAATTGAACTCAAGGACATCTGGAAGAGTAGTCAATGCTCTTAACCGCTGATTCATCTCTCTATCCCCTGCCTCAGGTTCTTGAGTGCTGGGATTACAGGCATACACCACCATGCTTGTCTTCCTTTTAAATTTTTTGTAAGAACAACAGAGATATTACCGCAGAATTATCTCATCCTAATTTGATGGCATCTATAAAGATCTTATTTCCAAGTAAGGCCCTGATCAGAGGGACCTCAACATATACTTGGGCAGGATACAACTGCACTAATAAGTAGAGAAAGGTGTTTTTGTGGGTGTTTCTGAATCGAGCAACTGTGACCCTGTTTGGGGGTCACACATCCCCGGTGCCCGGTTACTGCTAGTGTGCTCTGGCCTGCACAAACTCAACACCTCCTGCCCTCTGCTGTCCAGGAGGGGCAAAAGCACGCTGGAGCCCACAGAGCCTTTATTCAAACGCCTGGGGGCCGGGACCTCCCCAGCTGGGCTGAGACATCAGTTCCCGGGCTGTGGACATGACTGCTTTAGCATCAGATGGATCTAGGTTTCCAAACTGTTTCCCCTCTGGCAGCCTTGCTCTGTGACCCTAAGGTAGTCACTCAGCCTCTCTGAGTCTCTATCACTGCCTTAGGGAAGCAGCGAGGATCACCCATGCTCCCACACTGCTCACTACCCAGCAACCACTCATTCAAATATTAATTCTGTTAATAAATGTGTGAATGACTGCAAAGCTTTGGGGCCAGCAACCAGTAAGTGCCGAGGGAGTATGCTGTATTTCTGGAACCTGCTAACTGACATAGCTGTTCTCCTTGGCTCTTCAGTGGCCTAGATATATCAATCATAATAATAGTTATTAATATAAGAACATACAATTAATCATAATTAATTAGCATTTCTAGGCTCTTTGAGTCCAAAAGAAATGTAATTATGAGGTTTCTTAATCCAAGGATACTATCATATTATACCATCATATCTCTAGCATATAGATTTGGGGCAAAATATATTTTCCTAGGAACAATCTTCTCTTTCATCAGTTTTTTAAAAAAGATTGTGTGTGTGTGTGTGTGTGTGTGTGTGTGTGTGTGTGTGTGTGTACCTGCAGAGGTCAGGAGAGGGTGTGGGAATCCCCTGAAGCTAGAGCTAAGTGTATTTACCTTTCTGAACCTCGGTTTGTAAAGCCAGGAAGTTGTTAGACATTTAGGTTTGATGTATCAACACTTAGACTGAACTTGGTACAAGGGAGTCCACAATTGTCACTTGGCTGTGACTTAGGCTACTCAGCTCCTAGCTGGAGCGACCTGAAAGGGCCCAGTTACCTGGGGGCACTGGATGCAGGGAGTTACAGCTAACCTTTTACCCTGGTGACATCTCCCCATGCTCCAGTGACTTGGTAGCCATCTTTATCTCTGGACATAATCCACAAAGGGATTCAGACAAAGGTGGGCTATTGGGTGGATGCCAGGTATTTTTGAGCTTGAAGAGCAGCTGTGTGAAGCAGTCTGGGGTAGCAGTGTGTGAAAGGCACATTGGAGATAGAAACTGCTAGCTGGAGGCCAGGAAGAGGCCATTGAGTCTAAAGTGAACGGGGACTGAAAATGGAAAAGCATTGGGGGGATCCTTGGCACGTGGCCCCGCCCCCTCTTCGGGTGCAATGAGTTACTGTGAGTGTTGACGTGACTCAGGGGCTGCTGCCCCGTGCTCTGTGGAATGCCGCCAGCTTCCCTGTCACATGCAGGCACACGCACACGCGCACTCTTCATGCACACATTCATTCTTAATCTCTGCCCTAATCTGGTCACCACTTCTGCCAACCCGGTCAGTAATTACTTGGCAGTAATGTCCCCTCCCCCTTGGTTTGTCACATGAGAATAATTATAATCCCCAAGTCACCAAATTTTTGTGCTGGGGTAACACCCACAAAGAACTCATCCACTATAGTGTACCAGGGACATAACCAGTGCTCAGTCACACACGATTTTTCCAGGCTTTGGCAGCTTGTGGAAGTCCTTGAACCACACATGACTTCAGCAAGTAACAAACACACTAGGCCCTGCCCTCTGCAGACACCCTCCCAAGGGTCCCACCCATCCCAGGGTCCCTCCAGTCACCACAGTGAGGCCGATTAACAAAAACACATAAAATTCCTTTACTTCTGAGTCTCCCCTTGTAAGAGGAGACTGGAAATAAAGGAGATTTAATAAAAAAATGGCGTAATTAGTCAAATACTTCTCGGTTAGGCTCTCCCTGGTGCAGAAAGACCAATCCTGGCCAGCTAATAACCCCAGGGGACCCCAGGGTGGCACCGGGCATGGCTGGGGAAGGCTAGGTGCCAGAGGCTCCCTGGCCGGCCCTTCTGCAGCAGGGAGCCAGTCGGGAAGATGGGCGGGGTACGTCACCACCTTAGGAAGTCCCTAAGGAACTTCCAGAGCTTGGTGACCCAGAGATTGGCTCCGAGGTCAGACAGGTACTGGATCTCGGGCGTGAGCATGCGCCGGCACAGCTGCTCGTGATGCGGCCCGATGCTCTTCTTGAGGTTGTAACCCAGGATGGACTTGACGCCCAGGGGCTGCCAGGGCTGCATGGCCGAGTCCTGGATGGCCTCGGCGTCCACCGCCTGGCCGCCATCGATGCAGATGCGGCGCATGCGCTCGTTGGCTTGGCGCAGCTCGGCCACCTCGCGCACCATGCGCTCGCGCCCGAAGGCCTCCACCTTTCGCCAGAAGCTGGTGTTGAAGTGGTGGTAGAGGCGCGCGTCCAGCAGGTTCCAGGCGGTGGCGCGGCGGTACAGCTCACCGGAGAGCCGCGGCACCGGCGAGTCGCGCCGCGCGTTGAGCTTGAAGTACAGCACGTCCTCCAGGTCCCAGCACAGCAGCTCCCGGAGCAGCACCAGGGACTCGTCGAAGTACTCCTGCAGCAGCACCAGGTGGAAGCGACGCTCCACCTCCAGGATGTGCTCCTGCACGCGCGGGCTGCCCGGGTCCAGGCCGCTGTCGTAGCCCAGGTCGAAGAAGAGTAGGTTGCGGAGGTAGTGCGCGTTGTAGCCGCTCGGGTCGTAGTAGCGATCAGGGTCCTGCAGGAACTCTGCCAGCTTGTCGCGGCTCGACAGCTTCCAGGTGAGCGGCACCACGGACCCAAAATAATGGAAGGAGGACTCGAAGAGACGCGCGGGGTCGCGGATGACCGTGATGAAGGCGGCGCCCGGCCGCACCAGCCCGCGCACCTCTTCGTAGTGGAAGCGCATGTGGTTGCAGATGATGTTGAAGCACGCCCCGGGCCGGTAGTCCTGCACCAGGCTGCGTGCGAAGAAGGACGGGTAGTGGAAGTCGTTGCGGCCATTGGGGAAGGCGAACTTGAGCCCATGCTTCTGGCCGAAGCGGAAGAGGATGTTGAGCAGTGTGCTGCTGGCGGTCTTGTGCGTCTTCATGAACACGATGTCTCGCCGAGGTTGGCACCCTCCGGCAGAGCCGTTGACCGGAGTGGCCGTCCCTGGCTCACTGGGAGCAGGGGAGCAGGGCGCTGCGGTCTCTGAGGTCCTGGGGGAGACAGAGGGATGGAGAGAGGTCAGGGGGTTGCAGGTGACAGTACCATCAGAGAGCCTTCGAGGGGCTTGATCTCACCGGCCTGGCAGCCACGACCCACTAATGCAGGTTTGAACCCATTGCTTTATGGGTGCTAGACAAGCACTCTACCAACTGAGATGAAATTTCCTCTGCCTGAAATTGCAGGGGTTTTTGTTTGTTTATGTGGGGTTTTTTTGGGGGGGGGTTAACCAGCTATTGGCAATATTTTTCAGATTCCTTTAATATCACGAACTGTGGTACAGGCTGCCCAGATGTGTGCTGAGCGGTCTCATGAGGAGAGGGCATGGTGTGGTCGCTTAGGAAGAGGGACACGGTCACATAGGCCCAAGTTTGAAAAGCTTGAATCCAGGCCCAGAGTGTTTGGGGACAAATCACACTCCATCTCTATCCTGGCCCCCACTGTGGCCCTGTTGGAGCCTCAGATTACAATTCAAGCACTGGACACCGTAATAGGTGACACTCCTGCTCTGTGGGGCAGGCTCTGCCCTTATCTCCACTTCACCGAGGCACACGCGGAGCCCTGGGTGGCGCCGAGAGTTCTGCCGGAATGCCTGCCCCACACAGCATGGTGCCCGTGTACAGGGTCGCTGTCTAGCAGAAAGCTCCCATCATGGACCGTGAAGATGCCCTGCCCCGCTCCCACGGTTTGACGTCACTCACGTGAAGGCCATGTTGGGGTGCAGCGGGGGTGCCACATAGGAGTAGAGCAGCAACAGGAAACTGGTAAAGAGGGCTCCCAGCACCAGCCCCTTGGCCTTGGACTCCCAGGGCTTCTTCGGCAGCAGAGGCATCTCAGGCAACCGCTAGGGACAGGGCAGACAGAACGCAGGTCAAGAGGTTGGTCTCAGGGAGCCTCCCCGGCAGCCAGGGCTCTCAACCCGGGGCTGCTTTGGGCAGCTCTGCGGACTCCCTGGCAGGATCCTGACAGGGTCAGAGCGTTAGAGAGGAAGAAGACAGCCGACTCACCTCAAGGGGAGGAGGCCAAACGGACAGAGAGGAGGCCCTCCCCGCACGGCTCTAACTTCTAGCTGACTAGGAGGGACACGGGTGTAATGCCCTTCTTTGTAGGCTGTGGGTTTTATAATGAATGCATTCTGAGGACAAAAGGAGAGGATTCCTCTTGTCCTGTGCCCCGGGCCCTGCTCACAGGGAAGACTAGAATCTTTTCTGTTTCAGAAGGTAGGGCCAGCCTTCCCTGTCCCCTGCACCACCCTCCCTGCTGGATTAAAAAAAAAAAAAGATATTTAGTTTATAGTTATGTTCCAAATACTGCATGAAATGTACTGGGCGGTGGTGTCATGCGCTTTGAATCCCAGCCCTTGGGAAGTAGAGGCAGGTGGATCTCTGAGTTTGAGGCCAGCCTGGTCTACAGAGTGAGTTCCAGGACAGCCAGGGCTACCTAGAGAAACAGACAAAACTGCTGACTCACTTTAACAGGGTGCCTTGCTGAGCTTCTGTGGTGGGATTTGTTGGTTTGGGGGGCAGTTTGATCTGGATGCAGTGCCCTTATCCACAGGAGACAGAGATGTGAGTGGTAGTGGGTGAGGTCCAAGCTTCAGAACTGGAAACCAGGAGAGAGTTGAGGCTTGGGGTCAGGGGACTTTCCTACCTCCCTGTAGGTGTAAAGCCAAGCAAGGTCTGAAACTTTCCACTTCTCTCCCAGCGGATGCTCCCAAGCCCCCGAGGCTTCAGGAGGTCACGCTGCCCTGTGACCACACGCGTGGCATGCTACCAAGTGCATCTGGAGGCCGCACGGCCAGGTAGCCTCCACGGTAGCTCCCTACGGTGCCCACGACCGATTGCCGAGAGGAGCCCTCCAGGCCCTCCTCCAGAAAAGGTGGCAGCCTTACTGAGCCCGTGGCTCATCACCTAGGAAGTCTGCCCCTCAGAAAAGGATGGCGTGAAGCAATGGTCAGAGGAGGAAAGTACTCAGGAGGGACTTTTTTCTCCCCGTGACAGAGAGACGCATCGCTCATTCTGTAAGGCTGGGGAAAGGCTGGGGAGAGTGTTTCCAGAGGGCGGTGATGGCAATTGAGGCTCACTGGCCTGTCACTACAGACAAGTGTATAAAGTGTGCAAAGTCATGTGTGCCTTGACTAGAAACAGAGAGAGAGAGAGAGAGAGAGAGGCGAGCCAACCTGAAAACACAGCACGATCTAGTTGCTTGCTAACATGCTCGAGGCCTGGGTCAATTCCCCAGCAATGAAAAAGAAAAAGCAAGCAAAGCCTGGCATCTGGGAGACCAGGCCAGCCTTAGCTACATGTCCAGTTTGAGACCAACCTGAACTACATGAGGGCCTGTCTCAACACATCAACAGAAGCCTGGAGAGATGGCCCAGCCAGTAACAGCTAGTTCACAATTGAAAACATGAGAGTACTTGCTGGGTTGGAGTTCAGTTCCCAGCACTCATGTTGGATGATTCACAACTGTCTGTAACTCCAGCTTCCAGGGGATCCGATGTCCCCTTCTAGACTCCACGGGGGGGCACACACACACACACATACACACACACACACACACACACTTTAGAATAAATAAATCTTAGCCAGATAAGGGCTGCACATGTTTAATCCCAGCACTTGGGAGGCAGAGTCAGGCAGATCTCTGTGAGTTCAAGGCCAGCCTGGCCTACAGAGTGAAATCCAGGCCAGCCATGGCTATATAGTGAGACCCTGCCTCAAAAACAAAAGCAAAACAAAACAAAAAAACCTAGAAAATTAATTCTAGAGTGACAAGCACTCCTCCTCCTAATATATATATATATATACACACACACACACACACACACACACACACTTAGGTTAATATATATGAAAGCCTGGATAAAAGCAAAATGCTACTAAAGGGCAGTGGAGAATGAGTATACTTTAGTAAAAATGCTTAGAACCAGTGGTGCTTCTGATTTTGTACTTTTTAGTTTGGAATATTCCATGTGCACAAAGAGATATCTCAGCGGGGCCGGGGAGATATCACAGCCGGCAAAATGCTTGCTAATCAAGCATGAAGATGAGTTCAGTTTTCCTAACATCCACACTAAAAAACAAAAGACAGATCAACGTACGCTTGTCATCCTACTGCTGGGGAGGTGGAGACAGGTGGACCCTGGAGCTCAGGGGCAGTGGCCGCTTAGCCAGTCAGTGTTTCAGGTTTAGTGAGAGACCTCGCCTCAAAGAGTTTGGTGGATGAAGTTGGCTGCGGAGGTGGCGCACGCCTTTAATACCAGAACTCAGGAGGCAGAGGCAGGTGGATCTCTGAGTTCGAGGCCAGCCTGGTCTACAGAGTGAGTTCCAGGACAGCCAGGGATCCACAGAGAAACCCTGTCTTGAAAAACAAACAAAAAATGTAAGGTGGAGTGTGATCAAGGAAGAGACTTCATGTTGACCTCTGAACTCCACAAGCATGTGCATACATATGCACATGCATATACTCACATGAACATGTGTATACACATATGAGATATCTTGGTACCAGCCAACAACTAAGCATGAAATTCACTTGTTACATGTCTAAAATGCATCGTCAGAAAGGATTTTATATGGTATTTGCAATGGACCTGTGTTTTGATTGTGACTTATCACATGAGGTCAGATGTGGAATTTTCCACCTGTGGCATCATCTTGATATTCGAAAAGTTTCAGATTTTAGACCATCTTCAATTTCAGATTTTGGGTTAAGGATACCCAACCTGTGTTCTACATTTCCACAGTCTAATCATCTGACCTATCTGGGGAGAAGTATAGAACTATTTCTCTAAATTACTCATTTTCACAACGGTTGCATTTTAAAAGGGTCACATACTATTTAATAGGAAAAGGGACAATCCACTGCCTCTGCATCAGATTTGAGTTTTTTGTCCCCACCCCCCCCACTCCTAAGCAGTGCTGTGATTAACCTAGGGTCTCCAGCATTCCAGGCCAGAACTCTACCACTGAGCTATGTACCCACTCACACTTTAAAGTTTACAAAGTGTAAACCAGATGTGGTGACACACAACTGTAATCCAGGGGAAAGCTGAGGGTCAAGAATTCAGGCCAGCCTAGGCTACATTGTAAGACAGAGCCTCAAACACAAACTAAACAAAAACCCAGTCAGAGGGGAAGGTGTGGACCTCAACATCTGCTTTGTTTATTTATTTAGAGACAGGACCTCACTATGTAGTTCTGGCTGTCCTGAAACTCACTATGTAGACCAGGCTGGCCTCGAAGTCACTGAAATCTGCCTGCCTCTGCCTCTGGAGTGCTGAGGCTAAAGGTATGCACCACCACCTCCCAGTGGGACCTCAGCATCTGGCTCCCTCAGGGCTGGGCTTTGACACTGACTTCTGACAAGCGAAGGATCCCCTCGGAATCTGTTTCTCGTCTATAAATTGGAAAGAAGCTGAGGAGGGGAGTCTGGCTGGGCCATGGGGAGCCTCTTGAGCGGCCGGTACACCGGTATCACTCAAAGTGTTGGCTGCGACCCTCCCGAGTTCTGGGCAAAGAGTAGCGGTGCGGGTCTGGGGAAGCTGCCCACGTACCACAAATCCGCCCGGTGATGCTGAGCAGGCCCAGCAGAAAGCCAGCTCACAGACCAAGGCTCGGGCCCAGAACAGTGAGCACAGGGGCTTAGTTTCTCTGGCCTTAGAGGGATCAAGAGTCTTGTAGCTGGCACTCCGTAAAGCCTGAGGGCCCACCCAGCCCCGGCAGCCCCACTCACCAGGTGTACTCTCCGAAAGTCCGAGAAGCTGCAGTGGCGGAGGTCTACAGTGGAGGACTGGCGGTAGGGGGCAGACCAGCGTCCTAAGCTGCCAATCAGGGGCTTTCTGGCCCACCCAGGACAGCGTCCTCCTCCACCCGCGAAACATCACTGATTCATTCACTCATTCTCCTGTTTGGGTTTTCCCAAACCTCATCAGGTCCCTGTGTGTACTGAGCCCTGATGGAATACAGGGCTAGAATCTCTGCTAGCAACTGACTGACTCCACTCAGTGGGTACCACTGGGTTGTACCATCACCCCATTTTGTAGATGGGGAGAATGAGGCTCCAAGAGGTAACATGGCTTGCTCAGGGTCACTCAGCGGGTAAAAGCAGGGCAGGATTTTGAGCCCATGTCTGTGGATCTCGCACAGACAGCTTCCTGCTTCATATATAGCAGCTCCTGTTTGGGGTATCTGAAGCTTTGGGGAAGGAAGTCACAGGAGTGCAAAGAAGGTCAAGGCATAGCCCGGGGCTCTGTTTTAGGAATGCAGATTGTCCCACGTTGGTGGGCAGAGCTGACAGTCAATATGAAGGGATGGGGGGTAGAAGACCCTGGTGCCCTGTTCTCCTGCGCCAGCCTCCTCAAGTATTCAAAGCTCCTCACCCCCTTGCTGCCTGGCCTCTGTGAATTTAGCAAGGAAACTCCTCTCCGAGCCTGTCCCCTCTTGCAGATGGTGGATACACAGTAGCGAAGTCAGGGAAAGCGGCCCTTCTCTAAGAAAACTGAGGGAAGCCAGGGGCTGGCTAGACCCGGAGTCTGGCTTGACTGAGAACAACCCCAAAGCTACCGGGTTCCAATGCCAGGTGATCAATCCGAGTATTAATTATTAATAGCAATGCCGATTACCCATTGTCATCACTGTTGACCAGGGCCCAGTCCTGCCTCACTGGAGAGGTACCCCGCCCTCCATGATCAGCAGGTGATTCATCCCAGAGATGCTTGAGCCTAGCACTTGGTGAATGTTTGTTTTTTAAATGACGCCGCATGCATGGCCTGGGCATCTGGGGGAAGGGGATGGATACGACTCTTGGTCAGGCAGCTACCAGCTCAGTGTCAGCCACACAGGGAGATAGCGTATGGGTAAGACAGACATTCTGTGAGGGTCATACATGACGTGTATGTCAAAGGCCCCATGAATGTTTGTTTAGCTGTATAGCTCTGTGGTAAAGAGTTTGCTTAGCACGCACAAGCCCCTGGCTTCTGTCTCCAGCACCAAGAATGGCGATGATGACGAAGATAATGATAATAATAATGGCATATATATATATATATATGTATATACATATATATATACATATATATACATATATATACACATATATATTATTCCTTGACTGGGTGAGGTGGTACGTGCCTATGATCCAAACTGAGGATTTTGAGTTGGAGGCCAGAGAGAGTGTGCTACAGATTAAGACCTTGTCTCAAAGAGCCAAATAAATATACTTCCTGTGCCCTACCATGGGTGAGCCACACTCGGAAATTATATGAGAGAATCATGCATGTACAAGAACATGCCTGTGAGAGCCACACAAGAGAGCCAGAAAGAGCCAGCATCCGGGCTGGGATCTAGTTTTAAGGCGCAACTCTGGAGCCAGGTATGGTGGTACACACCTGTAATACCAACAATTCGGGAGGCAGAGGCAGGAGGATGGTGAGTTGGAGGACAGACTGGACTATACAGAGAGACCCTGTTTCAAGAAATTAAATACAAGGCAAGCAAGATGGCTCAGCAGGTGCTTGCTACCAAGACTGACAACCTAAGTTTGATTCCCAGGTCCAGTCATCCTCTGACCTCCAGACTCTCACCTCTTCCCCATAATAACTAACTAAATATAATTTTAAAGTGTTAAGACACACACACACACACATGCATGCTCTTACTTAGGCTGTTTCCTTTTCTGGGTCTTAATTTTTCCTCCAAAACAACACCAGTGTTCTGTCATCATTTGGTCTGAATGTCTCAGATGGAACGTGCAGCCACAGGGCTGGCACAGGACAGACATCTGCTGAGCTGATAGCTATTATGACCCTCTTAGGGTCCTAGCCTGGCCCCGTCCAATTGTGTACCCACTAGCCCAAAACAGAATCTTATAGATAACCAATGGCCCGAGAACTCAGTTTCCAGAGAAGCAGGGAGGTCAAACCTCAGAGTAGGCAAGAATATCCTCAAGGTCACACAACACAGGGGACGCCGTGACAGACCCAGGACAGGGACAGATGGCTTTCTTGTCATTTCCCTCATCTATCCCTGTTCTCGTGGGTTACCCCAGCTGCATCTGCCCCATAGCTGGTAGCAAGCCAGACCCAACATCCTCTAGTTCAGCTCAGACCCTGCAGGACAGAAGGAGAAACAGGACCCACCCACTACAACCTGCACACCCTGAAACTTGCCCAAGATGGTAAAGATCCCTGCGAGTGTTGCACAGCCCCCCTGCTCTCCGTGCTGGGGCAGAGGGGACACACTCACCTTGGGCTGTGACTAGCTGCCCCTTTCCTCTCCCAACACCCAGGCTGCCTCTGCAGTCAGAGACAAGAATGCTCCAATGATACCCAGCAGGCGGCTGCTTGGCTCCTTCCATCCCCCTCCAGTGCATATGAATATTTATGAGCTCCCCCCCTGGGGATAATGAATGGAATGCCCAGGTGGTGCCCTGGTCTTCTTGCCGTCCTCCAGCTGGACAGCTCGGGGTGATCCCCGCCCCTCTCTAGACCCCAACAGCCAGGCAGCTCATTTACCCAAGGGCTCAGCAAAGTTCTATGTGCCCTTGGCCCAAGGGCACAGCTACTGCACGCTTGAAGGCTGGGGCAGGCTGTGTGTGTGTGTGTGTGTGTGTGTGTGTGTGTGTGTGTGTGTGTGTGTATGTGAACTGATCCACCTATGAGGGCAGCTCATTCAAGCTTCCTGGCTGCTCTGTGGGCCAAGTACCCCCTCAGGCCCATCACAAAAAAAGAAAGTAAGGCAGAGTAGGGAAGAACAAAGTCGCGGGCCAAATGCACGCCTGCCAGGAGCTCAGACCTGAAGATGCCAAGACAGAGCAGACATGAACTTGATCAGCCTCTACAGGAGCCCCAGGGTGACAGCTAACAGGCTGAGAAGTCCAGAGGAAGGAAGTGTGGCATCTCGGAGGAGCATGGAGTCCTTCATCAAAGGGTGTATGCCATGCTGGGCAGCCTGCCTGAGCAAGTAATAGACTCACACACACAGCTTGGAGCCATTTTGCAGGTTTGAGGCTTGCCAGAGATGCTGTCCGAGGCCTTGTGGGGGAGTGGGGGGGGGGGGGGAGACAGGACAGTACCACTAGGTTCCCTGCCCTGCTCCTACCCTGAAACTCACACTGAGTCAACACAGCCATCTTAGGTTCAGCTCAGCTTCCTCTGAGCTTTGTCCTTCATCAGAGGGACCCCTTGAGTCCATTCCCCCCTTGATGTCCACACTCTCGTGGTGGCCCAAGGAGAAGGCTCTAAAGACACAACAGATCACAGTTAATAATAGTGCAAACCTGGGCTGGTCAAGGTCATCCTCTGCCACCATTCTGTCTACAGAGGCTGTCCATCTTAACAAAGTTCCTCCCTGGGTTTTTAAAGAGAAGCCCCTCTCTCCCTTCGGGACTCTGTCTGCTGTTTCTGATATGTTTTGTTCTGTTCCTTTTCCAGTGCTCTCCCACTTCAAAGCCTAGTCTCCAGACTCTTTCTTTCTAACGTCCATTGGCGTTTCTGCCTTCTGGGCTGACCTAGTTTGAGGACAGCTTTATGGCGTGCTCAAACATCAGGAATGTGATCTATGGAAGTGGACTCTGAACTACCTAAATGGATCCACCCTCACACTCCTGGTAGGGACTTCCTGCTGCCCCTTCTCCTACAGGGTAGGGGCAGGGTGGAGTTCAGGCGTGCTAGTAAGGCAGAAGAGGGTGGTGGGTTTGGTGGAGATGGAAATGAAGAAAACCTAGAGCTGGACCGTCAGCCCTGTGCAAGGGTTGGAGATGTCTTCCTGGGGCTTGGTTTCCTCATATTTCAACTGGTTCTCTCGGCTGATAGTATCCATTGGTTTTTTTTTTTTCTCTCTCTCTCCCTATATATAATGTGTGCACACACATATATTTAAATGATGAAAGTAGTATAGGTTCGCAATTATTTCATTTTGTTTTATTTATTGTTTTTGAGACAGGGCTTTCTATGTAGCTCTAGCTGGCCTGGAACTCACTATGTAGACCAGGCTGGCCTCAAAATCATAGAAATCCACTTGCCTCTGCCTCCCAAATTCTGGGATTAAAGGTGTGAACTACAATTAAAAAATAATAATGCTCTGATCCAGTAGGGGAAGAGGTTGGGAGGGGGTGACCTCAGGAGGTATTCCAATTTCCAAAGATAGCTTTCTTTTCTCCATGGTCACACAGACTGTAGTTCTCATCTTCCCTTGCAGTTGAGGGAGACCCATGTGACTGAATCAGAGTCAATGAAATATGAGTATAATGACAGCAAATGAGGTTAAGGGGCTGGTCTTTGTGGTTTCTTTCCTGAGGTTCACAGACCCTGAACAAGCTACCTTTTCTTTGCGGGGGCAGTCTTTGACAGGGTCTCACTGTGTAGCTCTTGCTAGTCTAGAATTCACTATACAGACCAAGCTGGCCTTGAACTCATAGAGATCATATGTCTCTGCCTCCCACTGGAACTAAAGCCACCAAATCACAGCTGGTTAGTGTCTATTGTCAAATTGACACAAACTAAACACACCTGGGAAGAGGGACCCTCGACTGAAGAATTGTCTCCACCTGACTGATCTGCGGTCATATCTGGGGGGCACATTTTCTTGATTGCTAATTGATGTAAGAGGGTCCAGCCCAACGTGGGAAATACCATGCCTAAGTGGGTGGGCCTGGGAAGGTTGCTGGACTTGAGTGAGAATGAACCGCTGAGCAGTGTTCTCTGTTTCAACCCTCCTGCCTTGAGCTCCTGCCTCAGCTTCCCCAGCAACAGACTGTAACCGGTAAGCTAAAGCAAACCCTTTCCTCCACACATTGCTTTTGGTCATGGTGTTTATCACAGCAGCAGAAACCTAACTGGAACAGAATTGGAGCGGGAAAACAGAGGTGTTGCTATGACAGACCTGACCATGTCATTTGGGGCGGGGGTGGGGGTGGGGTGGGGTGGGGGGAGATTGTGAAAGTGTTTGGAACTTTGAGCTGGAAAAGGCATGGAGTGCTCAGAGATTGACTTCCGGTTTGTGGGAAATTGGAAGATAAGATAATGCTAAGAGACATGGAGGCCATGGAGGCCTGGCATTCATGCAATATTTAGATTAACACTCTGGAAGTGAAGCCTTTGCTTTGCTGGGACAATTGATGCTTTTTAACCAGGGCTGAGAAATCAGGGGTGATTAGGAAGGGACCAGCAGCACTGAGGCAAAATCTTCTGAGAAGTATCTCCTCAGGGTCAGCACACAGTCGCTGTGGTCCAGGGAGACCAATACTGCACCTCAAGCTGATAGACAGTTATCTGTTGGGTATTTTTACCACATAAGAGGGCTCAGCCCACTGTGGGCAGTACCATCCCTGGGCAGAAAGCAAACCAGAATAAAGCCTTTATGTCCATTTCACAGACAAAGAAACTGAGGCCCAGAGGTTAAAAGAGCTACCTTAGTACACACTGTAAAGAATGAATGTATTCATAAGGGCAAAACTAAATTTGTACTTAGGTTAAAGGGTCTGAGATGATACCAAATGTAAAGTGTACTTCCCCAAGGAATGGGGTCACTTACCATCAATAACACATTTTGATTCAGTAGATATAATGCAACTATATATGCATTTACATTTTACCAGAGTCTGTATTGCTTTGGGAAAACAGTAAAAATTTATAAGTAATGGGCCAGTAAGATGGCTCAGTAGGCAAATGGGCTTGTACCTGAGTTTGATCCCCAGCACCCACATGGTGGAGAGAGAGCCAATTCCTGGAAGTTGTCCTCTGACCTACATAACACACACACACACACACACACACACACACACACACACACACACACACCCCAAAAATAGGTTTATTGCCATAGTAGGAATCAGGCCACACCTCCTTTCTGAAGCAGGCATACTACTCTTTCCAAACCTTAGTGGCCTGAATCGGAAGGCCTAGCCAAGGGCAGAAGAGAGCTGGGAAGTGTAGGGTACACAGTAGACAGTCTGATTGAGAGAGGTTAGCCCTGGACCTGCAAGGATCCAGCAGCTCCTTCACCTCGAGGCTTTCTGGAGT